ATTAAATTTCAATTTCTACAGTTGATTTCGAAACTTCTTTTGCCGACTCTATGTGTTAATTGAGTTTGAGTGAGAAAAGAATAGGAAATATGAGAATAAGTGAATATCGATCTTCTTAAAAGATTAATCGAAATTTCTTCCTTTTTTCTTTTCGCAAGAAAACAAACGAGATTTATTATTGGGCTTTGCCCCATAAATAAAGATTTTAATTTAATTATTGTCAGACAACGACATGAAAATGCGATCAAGATATGATTCGAGCTGAGATCAATCGAAATTACACGTAAACATTTTTTTAAAAAATAAAAGGAAAAGAAAAGTATGAATGAGCCGGATAATGCGTGTATGGGTAAAAAAAAGTTGCATCGATTAAACCGTATACACTCACCGTGAAGGATTTGAATGCGTCAAGTAGGATTTTAACCCTTCATTCGAGGAAGGTGATCGACGTGGTAATTCCAGGTTTGGTGGAACCATTTTTCGCCTCGAGGGATTTAAGGATTTTCCACTTATATGAGCATGCCTCCAAAACTTTTTTTTGCCGATAACGCATTGAGTGGTTTGTAAGCTAAAAAGTTTTCGAGCATTCATCACGCTCCTGTCTCGTATCGATTAGAGGGTGAGATTAAAAAGTGTTTCCATTTCCGTGTTCTTCCATCGGGAAAAAACGTAAATCATCCATGATAAGTAAAAGATCAATCTCTTATTTTTGTTATATTATTGATTTAATATATTTATCGGTTAATCTTTATGATGAATACGAAACGAAAAATATATATCATTTATTTTTTAATATCTTGTTTTAATAAATATTTAATCGAAGAAGAAACTAGGATTCAAACTTTAATTCTCTTTCTAGGATTCTATGAAAGCATCAATTACATATTATTGAAATTCACTATTTCTCTCTCGCGATTTTTCTAGCACAAATTGCACAAAATGCATTATTGATCTAAATAATTCACTATTATACTTATATATCTTGAATAATATACGATGATTCATAAATTTGACTCTCCATATATTTTATATTAAAATTATCAAAATAAATCGTTTTATCATAATTATTGTCACAATTAATCTAACCAACGACGAAATAAAAGTAACCAAAGGGATCACATTCTTCTATGGAATCGAATCCATATCAAAAGCAAGAAGCGTGGCGCACATGAGCACAAAGGAATACAATAAACGGATAACGATAAAGCAGCAAAAATATTCCGCATTACCGTCACGTAAATCCTCCCCCTTCCTCCGACTACTCTTCAAAGTCGTAGTAATAAACCGGACAGCTAACCGAGGTGAAAAACAATCGAGCAAAAGGACACGGTGAAGAGGCGCTTGTGGAGCAGCGCACGATCTGGAATATCCTTGTAAGCTCTCCCTCCCTCTTCTTCTGTCGGTCGCCGTCGGTCTCGCGGGATTACGCGTTTTCGAGGGGGTGCGCTCGCGCGAATTTTTTCGAGGGTGCACCTGCGCTGCGTTACGGGTATCGAATGTTGGCCATCGCGATTGCGGTCTTCAGGAAAAACTGGCCGAACCGGTCACGCGTTAAATATCACGGGCCCCCACTGGCAAGAGGACCAAAGCGAAGCGGCTGCAGCAGCACGAGATCGCGGTGGTTCGCGGTCTAACTCGCGATCGATCCTTCTTTTGCAGTATCGGATACGGATAAAAACCGTATTTTGCGCCACTCGAATTCCTTTAGGATGCAATTTGCGGATGGAATTTTCCAAAATGAGGATTTATCGTTTAAGTTTCGTTAAGTTTTGGATTTGATTAAATTTTGAGAGAATTTGATATAATGGAATTTTGAGATAAGGCAACTTTTTCCACGTGTCGATCGATTTTCATGGGTTGTAATATTGGATATGATTAAATTTTGACCGAATTTCGTGCTTGGTATGGATGGAACTTTGTAATGCTTATATATATATTCTTTTTTCTGGAATTTTAGATTCTTTGTAAAATGCATGGGCAATTTCACGTGTAATGGAATTTTCCAAATCTTGCGGATTTTTCGGTGTATTATATGATTTTGACGCTGTAATTCTGGAGTAATTAAATTTTGTGCAAATTTCATACGTGGATTTTTCTTTTTTAGTAGAATCTTTGACACGTGATCTTTGGAATATGAATTTAGCAATAATTAAATTTTGGATGAATTTCGTACTTGATATATTATATATATTTGCAACTCTTGTGAATTTTATTTCAGAATTTTTTTAATGATATTTATATTTTAGAATATATAAATTTTTGCCGAATGTGTCAATTCATTGTATCGTAATTGTATCGTAAATTGATTGGAGAAAATTCTTGATATTAATTTCAATTAGATTCTTAACTTCAAATTAACCATCTTCAATTTATCTGCAATTTATCTATAAAAAAAAAGTGAATATTTTCTCAACAATTTATAAGATAATACATGTATACAAAATGCATTAGCAATTGGTATGTTATAAATTTTTTTTTCATATTCATTTGAAGAATAAATTAACATCGCATGTGTAGATTAATTTTGCACGAGGCGAGTCAAAGATCGAGCAAACAACTGCGAGGGTTCATAATAATTGAATAAATATTAAGATTAAATTGCGATAAAAATCTCTACAGAAAATTATCGTACGTTGCCATTTTGAAAATTAAAAATTAAGCTCGATAACGAAGGCTGGTTTTAATAATATACTTGCAGTTTCAAAGTAACCATTATATTTAACTTCAATCTTCATCAGCTAAAATTTATTATTATTTTTTTTAATTAACTAAAGTGTACGTCAAATTATATCCACCTATAATTTTTATTCTGAATCGTTATTAAGCAATGAACATTCCATTCTGTTGCTCGAGAATTCAGAACAGATTAATTTATATCTTCTCTCGATTATTTAGGTCGATCTAGTAAAAGGAAAAGAGCTAGATTTTCAAACTAAAAATAAATTATCTCCGCTGAATATCGTTATACATTTTCTATAATATCACGCAATTTTCTCCCTTCTTATACCCTTTTCTTCCTACACAATAATCCATAATACACATCTTAAGTCTGAACATCTTACTTCAAGATAACCAATAATCACGATCGATCGAAAGAGCAAGAAACAAAGATGCTTCGGTCTAAAAAAAATCATCTCTGCCTTATTATTTGAATCTGAAGAAATTGCTTTGAATTTACAATTATGTAATATTCTACACAATATTGCCTAATATCGGCCAATGTAAACAGCTTAACCATATAATCAGCGAACAAGGGTGAAAGAGCAATAAAAGGAACAAGTTGAACGCTTGATAGTGGCGCCCAACGAGCAGCAAACACACATAGTCACACACACACACACACACACACACAGCAAAATAGAGGCTAAATCGAACGCCGACGTATTACACCTTCGATTTGGCCTCGTGACGATAATACATAAGAATGCCGACGTTCGTGATGATAATACACAGCCTCCTGATTATCGTGCTGTCCGAAGCCTCACCAGGGTCGCCTGAGTTACGTTGTAATGATGGCCAACCAGCGAACCGGTTGTGGCCCTGCCACTGCACTTATTTGGCCCCTAACCCGATCCAAACCAGACGAAAACCAAGAGGGAAAGAAAAAAAAGAAGAAGAAGAAGCATGGAGGAACCCGCAAAACTGAACCACACACCTGGCCCAAGGATGCAAGAGGGCCTCTGAGCAGAGTATACGTGCGGCAAGAAAGCAAACGCGAATTTCGTAATTTACGAAACGGCCGTCGAAGATTCTGTAATCATCGAGTGATCGAGCAAAATATATAGGAAGAGTTCCTCGATGAGATGGAAAGGTGAAAGGATCTCTCGAAGAGTTAGAATGCTTTCTTGTATTTTTTGTTGACAAAGAGATCATATTATGTCATCTTGTGATTTTTTAAGATCATCTCTATCATTCATTTTTACACACACACAATGTTAAAAAGTTGCTAATATTGAAAGATGGCTAAAAGCTATTCACGAAACTTTAATACACGAAAAAAGCTGGGGGGAAGGAACCGTAATGAAAGTACAATATATATTCAAAGGAAGGAGAAGGTGTGTGAAACAGAAGTTAAGTATAAAACATGGCCAAGTACATCTCACGGGAAAAAAATTCCAAGAAGAACAAGATACATACTCTGCAAAAAGAGGACAATAAGCCATTCCTCTCCAGGTTATTGCATCTCCATGTCAGAAGATAAACATTACGCTCCCTACGCCATAACTCATAACACCTAGGATCGTAAACTGGAGAATGGATTACCATTTAACTCCTTTCTCTCACGCGTGATTCAAGACCTTTCCAATTCGACGCATCCTTTCACGAACCAATCAAAGGCGATTTTCCATTTTTCTCGGGAAAAATTCACCCATTGTCGAAACGCACAATATATGATATATGAGAACACCTCTCGAAATACGTTCCACTTTCGAAATAACGATCCTCAAGGGTGTGTAGAGTGTATAAATTTCGACGATAAATCCATCATGGCCAAATACTGACCGATATCGAGCCCATGGCCATTTGCCAACGAACCAGAGGCTTCTTCCACTCTTGCGTCTCTCTTGTTGCATTATGCAGTTCAGCCTGCATTTCCTCCTCCGTCTCATTCCGTCCAACCGTACGATCTCTTTGTATAAATATGTCGGCCGAGACATGATTTACTCGTGCGCAACTATTTTCGTCATCGGTGATCGTCGAGTCGTTACCGCGCTCGAAGAACGAAACTCGTTCGATCGTGGTGTCAGGGTCAAGGATTCCTTCTTCGTTGCGTTGATGGACAAAGGCGATTCTGTCGTTGCCTCGATCGATCCTCGATCGACGAAATGGTGCCATTATGGAAATTGTCGAAACGATTGTGGTAGATTTCGAGAGAAACGAAAATATTTTATTTATCGTATAAAACGAAAATTTGTAGAATTAAAATCATCCAATATCACCTACGATGTTTATCTTGCACTTAATAAAATGAAATATCGCGTGTCAACGAATATCATGGCATTCAACGACTCGTCCACTTTTTCATTTCGTTCATGATACATTAAAACAATTAGAATTCTAATTATTGTCCTTCCTACTGTTCCATGTTTTAGTTAAACTTTGCTTACGAATCGACGCAGACGTGTTATTATCGTACCAGTTTTCAATCAAAATCGGATCGGATCCAAGAATTCTTTTAGAAGAATGATGATTCTGATCAAGCGTTGTTCGATTGGAATTTAAACGTTTCGAACGCAAGTTTGGATACTTGGGACGAAAGGAGAGGAATGGAATTTCCTAATTTGCTGCATCTTCTGAACAACGGGGATGCTACGTTCTCGATCGTTCCAACAAAACTTCCAAAGAAAAATCGATCCACGAAAATTAACACGGTTGTGTTAAGTCTAGCACTTTCCCATGCACGCGTCATCAATCTGATTCTACTCGTTCTGGGCACCAGTTTAAACTTTTTGATCATTTTGGTAATCGTTTGTGTACGTTCCGCGAGGACATCCACGAATCTCTACGTCATCAGTCTAGCCTGCTCGAACATGATTATATTGATCGAACCTCTGGAAGAAGTGTTGAAATGGTTCTTCGACGTAAACATGAAACTGAATATGGATTACGTGTGTATAATCAGCTTCGACGTTTCCATCATCACGATCGTGATTTTGAAGTTCGTGCAGTACATTGGCATCTTTCGGGACCAAATATCGTTTGGCCACGTATTATTGAAGAAGTATACAACCGTGAAAGGTATTGCGTTGATTTGGTCCTCGTGCATCATTTCGCTCGCTATTTCCCTCCACATATACGATTATTTCGAGGAAGATATGCCGGATATTTACATATGCATCACGATCATGTTCATCACCATGCCGTTGATCATATCCGTATGCATAGACGCGCTGATCATTTACGAATTGAAGATATTGAAAGAAATGGAAGGATCGTGGAGGATGAAGGAGTTGAGGCATTATATCATGTTGGGTGAGTCAATTAATTAGTTAATGGTTTCCAGGGCTATTAAATTTTTTTCTCTCCTTCTTAGTATCTCATAACATAATATTAAAGTGGATACGCTTCGTATTCATTTCCATTACATACGTTCTATAAAGTAGAGTGAGATATTTCCAGTGGTGGTCACAATCGCTTTCATCCTGATACGAATACCGTATCGATTGGCTAGAGCGATCAATTTCTTAGACCCTAAGGCATCGTGCTGCACAGACGATAAAAGAGAGGTGCTCTATTTCATGGCCAAGATGTATCCCTTCGTCTTCTCGTTCATTTATATCTCGTTATCGAACGAATTTCACGAAATCATAATGGTACGTTTACGGAGGAACGATGTTTCGTTAAAATAAATTTAATAATTCGAATAATATTTCTCATTGCAGACGATTCTAAAAAAGGGATGTCGAAAATGCTCTAAAGAAATTCGAACATCCTCCAATGATAATATAATTGTATGATGTATATAAAAGTGTCTATCATTGCACCTGTATTTACGATTAAATATAAATGAATAAAAAAGAAAATCCATACATTTGTCAAAGAAGATATTAATATAGAACCTTCGATCATATTTCATATTTCCATTCGGCCCCGAGTACCGGCATCAAAAAATTTATTTATAGCACGCACCGCGTCATCCCCGCATGAATTACTCAAAAGCTCGAAGCACTGCTCTCAAACATGAAAGACGTGCTTTGTGAACGAAGTTAAACTTGAAACACGTATCCCGCAAGTTGATATTCATAACACTGTGAGAACAAGAGTATCTCAAACTCTTGAATATTATTTAAGTACTTGCACCTAATAGAAACACGCATCATGGCTAAATTAAGAAGAGGAAGAAGAAAAAAAAGAACAAGGATCTCACAGTGTTTTAATCTCGCGTCTAATATGTGGTCTTCAAGTTTAAATCTAAAATCTAAAATCTATTGTCTATTCGATAGAATCATATCGATTGAGACTTATATTTATTAAATTATTAACTATTACGAGCAATTTAAGTTTATGTTGAAGAGAGATGGATGGATATCGATAATGCAAATTTCAATTATTTATAAACTTAATAAATAAACTTGGATCGATATTCTTACATATTTCGTACTTGTTTCAACTTCTTAAGATCGAAATCATCATATTGAAATATAATTGAAAATCGTTCAACCGTCGCGATACATTTCCATCAATCCTGTCTACGCGTGATTCGACATTCAGAAATCTACACGATAACTTCTTCTAATTTAAAAAAAAAAAATTAATTCTAATCGTACCAACGGAGAAAAAAACCGCTTACGTCGAAGAATCTCGAAGGAGTCAATAAAACACTCGTTTAAACTCGATATGTAAGGGCCAAGTGAAAACGATATATTAAAATAATGGAGGCGAAACAACTTGGCCTTGGTCCATTCGAAGAACGTTTTCCGCCCATTACGAGCAACACCACAAGGTTGGGATGGACGAAATTTGCAAGAGTGTCTTTTACAGAAGAGAGAGAGAAAAGCTTTCTCTCGTCGCAAAGTCGTGAATTCATCGCGCTCTCTGTATGCAAATTAGGCTCCCTTTGGGCGCGTCTGTCGAGTGCATAAGTCGATGGAGAGGCGCGCATACGATGGAAGCACGCGTGTGCTCGGCTCGAAAACAACGGCACGTCCACCTTGTATCCGCCTTCCTCGCCGAGGAAAAATAGCTCGAGTCGTAATCTGTTGACCGCGAAATCGTTACGAACGCCTCGATTGTTCGCCCGTTACGATAGCGACACGCTCCGCTTTAAACGACAAACGTGACCTCTCGAGATGCCGTGCGATCGAGCATGATATTCCCTCGTGGAAACGTGAATTTTTGGCGCGTGGAACGATGCCACGTCGGTATTGAAAAATTCATGTAGCTTCTTTTTTTTTTTTTTACTGTAAAAATGTATCTTTCTCGAGGAAGAACGAAGGCGCATGAATTTTGGAAAATTTGGTTTCTTCCTACATGGAATGGATCTTGCGAGATCCTCTTTCTGTGTATGTGAATTCGAGCAAATTCGTCTTTGGAATGGATTGTATTATAAATACAGTAATTCCATTTGAGAAAAAAAATAAGAATTGACTGGAAACGTTGGAGGTCATCTGGACAAGATTTCTATATAGAGATGTCGCACGTAAGGTCTATTTGATTCTCTATCTGCTCAAATAAGAAACGATTCTCGAGATAATTGCTTAAACATTGTGCTATGAGATGGAATAATTGTAAAAGAAAGATTGTGCTGCCTTGAATGAGTGAAATTGAAGAAGTAATTTCTATTCTCTTTTTCTTCGGTTCAATTTATACGTTGTTAGATTGTCGCAAAAGAAAAAAAAAAAAATAAAAAAGGAAGAAAGAACTGTAATCGAAAAATAATCTAATCATATTAATATTAAAAATTATGTTAGAATATTTAATTCGATCTTCCATCTAATTTTAATATTAAGCCCGCGATCCTTAAAAATCCTTAAAAGAATTCACAAATACTCTTGGAACATTTTTTACCCATACCACGCACTTTGTGAAAGCAGAAATTCTTCCAAGAACCAGCCATAATAACGTGCTCGCTGTAATCCTTAAATTCAATTAAGCGGAACGTCGTAAGTGAAAATAGGACATCGTTTGTCGTTTCAAATCGAGGATTAAATCTCTCTTTCATAGCCGCACGATTCACCATCTACCCAGCCTCTTCATCACACGATTACAAATTCCATCCGCATCGCGTTTCCTATTCCAAGCTTTACCGATTCTGCGACTACGACGACATCGAGACAAGGACACTCGATGTATGTGTGTGTGTGTGTATGTGCAGTCATATGTGTGGAAAATACACGATTATCGGTCGCGAAAGAAGGTGTACCGACGAAGGGAGATGCATCGTACGTGCCGAAGAAAAAGAAGACCTCGAAGAAACAGGAAATCAGTGGAGCGGAAAGCCATCCTACCAGACAAGACTTCCGGCACGGTCTTTCGGTCAACTTAACGTCCTTTCCTCTCGACATTGAGGCTAAATCTCTTTTTTTTTTTTGCACCGATGAAAGTGTAATTCTTCCTTGGGATAGATATACTTTGTTTAATTAAAGAATAGAGATAAAGTGGAGATGATGATATGATCCTCGTGAAATGAAGAAGATTGTAACTTTTTCAAGCGTTGACTAGTAATCGTGCATACGAGTTGTTATAACGATAAATAAAACTGGATGATAAAAAAAAAGATATGAAAACGATTATGAAATTACAGAAAAGAGGTTATATTATTTTTTAACTTTCCTAAATTGATTTTGAAAAAATTCTTTAAAAATATTTAAATAGAATATTTAAACTGTTTAATACGACGAGGAAACTATAAAGAAATTAATTTTTATTATTATATTCTTCATTTTTTTTTTTGTTGAATTTAGGTAAAAACAATTTTTTAAAAACAGGGCAACCCCGGATTGATATTATCTTTTGTCATTCGATGAATCGTTTCCTACGAAATTTAATTTGGAAAGTAAATCTGTTTGACTGTTCGGCCATCGTGATAAAAATTCCATTGGCGAGAGAAAAGTAACAAAAGACATTGTTTGCAACGAACAGGCGTGCAATGAAAAAAGAATAAAGGCGAATAAAGCTGTTTGTCCCTTCAACGTTAACCCGCCAAAGAATAACACCGCCAAAATTTGCTTATGAATAACGAATATCGACGTTCCGTCCGATTGTTCGAAAAGGTATCCTCTCGATTCGCAAATCGAGAAACAAAACGAAAACGTTCCAGTCAAATTCATCTCCATTGTTTCTCTTGTATCATTATTTCTGTTTCTCCTTTTTTTTTTTTTTTTCACGTAAAAGGAGAAAAAAATATATATACACTGCAAAGCGAATACCACAATTGGAAGAGAAAAATCGCCGACGAAGAAATTACATTAACGGTTAATTTCAACGGGTATAATCTCACGGTTGATATATTCGCGAACATCCTACAAAAGCCCATAATAAGAGAAGGCTAGGGAAAGAGTTCTCCATAACGTGAGATACTCGAGCACAAAGAAAGTTAACGCTTCGTAATATAGGACAGCGTTTAACTTTCCCCTGTGACTGTGAGCCATTCAGAAGGCATTCGAAATTTTAAATCCCGCTCTTCCGCAATACAACCTCGTGCAATGCTTATTCCTCGCGTCATAGATTTCTACTCTCGTCGAACATTTGAAAAATTTCAAAATGTTGAGGGAGCGAATTTTATTTTTCTTTACTTTGCTGCATTCAAGAAATCATAGATAATCTCTTAGCTCCAGTGTCACTTAATAAGTTGTAATGCAATTCGTATAATTTAAAAATGAAGCAAAGGAATTATTAAAAATTATCTTCGAAATCATTTCCACTATAGTTTTCATGGAAGACTCCATGGAAGAAAAGAAGCAATGGCGCGTGACGAAGCAGAGGCGAAAGAAAAGAAACGGCAACATCGATGCGAATGCGTAAACGCATTAACGCATGAACGTGTGAATGAAACGCGTATATACACGCATAGAAACTTCATTCATGGGCTTCGAACGGAAAAAGCATTCGCTTCGATTACAATCGCTAGGAGAGAGCCTCGAGGGGATCGAAACACTCGCATCTTTGTCGAACTTTTTTTTTTATTTTTCTTTTTACACCGCGAGAAAGTTGAAAAGTTACACGATACAAAATTGAAACGCTTGCTCCGCGTGCGGAGGATCAAACTTATTTCCAATCCCACGTTTCATTTCCGACCAGCGCATCTCCCTTCCGTACAAACTTTTACCAACTTTTTTTCCTTCGATTTTTATTCTTTCTCCTTTTTTTTCTCTATGTTAATTTCGTTGTTAACTTGGATATTTTACTTTTTTGTTCGTAGAATTGGATAGTGTATATATTGAAATTAGATTTATAATTGTCCAGATTCTTTCAGGAATGAGCGTATCGCTTGCATATCGAATTCATCGATAAAAAAAAATATTCTTCAAAGGTTGATCTCGAGGTTGATGAATATTTCGCGATACGAATCCGCGATTACGTGGCGGAAAATGAAAAATCGGCGCCCGAAGGCTCGATTATCTCTTCCTCCTCGCGTCCAAGATTCATATTTCGCGATGGAGAACGCGAAGCGACAAGTGATGAAAGGAACGATCATTTCGATTGCTTCACCAAAACTTTACTTCGATACTTTTGATCGATTCTTTCATCGAAAGAATATTGCGGGAAAAGAAAAATCAAATATGGAATAAAATACCTCCAATCAAACTTCAATAATACTTTTTATCGCACAGCAAATCTATCAAAGTAGATATCAAATTTTTTTAACCATCCTTGTGAGCACACTTACTAGACAATATAATAATAATAAGAGACTTTATAATTAAAATGAAGAAGAATTCATCGTTCACCAATTTCCTCCATTGTCCAAAAGTTAACTTTTCGATCATCACACGTATCATCACTCCAATTAAAACAAAAAATCTATTCC